CCCGGCCACCAATTAGCGGGTAAAACATAGGCGACTCCTGGCGGGGCAGACTCTTTCTTAGAATAAGTTAGAAGGCCAGTTACTACGGCGGAACGACTGAAGGGAGGAACAACTGAAGGGAGGAACAACTGAAGGGAGGAACGACTGAAGGGAGGAACAACTGAAGGGAGGAACAACTGAAGGGAGGAACGACTGAAGGGAGGAACAACTGAAGGGAGGAACAACTGAAGGGAGGAACAACTGTGGTTTTGAGCTTTGAGAAGAACTAATAGATAGCAGCATGTCCCTCTGACCTCGTCATTACGTCACTGTGTCAGTTGTTAGTGAGACACTGTGTCATTGTGTCTCTACGTCACTGTGTTAGTTGTTAGTGAGAGACTGTGTCATTGTGTCATTACGTCACTGTGTTAGTTGTTAGTGAGACACTGTGTCACTGTGTTAGTTGTTAGTGAGACACTGTGTCATTACGTCACTGTGTTAGTTGTTAGTGAGAGACAGACTCAACCATACACCGTGTCATTGTGTCAGTGTGTTAGTTGTTAGTGAGAGACAGACTCAACCGTGTCACTGTGTCATTGTGTCATTGTGTCAGGGAGAGACAAGCTGGAAGACTGGACCATACATAGAACATACCTTGTTTTTGCTGGCCAAGGTGTCCGCCCGTGCAAACAGCTCCTCGCAAAACCTGGGAATGATCCCCGTCTCCGCTCCGTGACCCATGATGCTGTGGACGAGGGAACAAGTCAGAGGTCACACTTTGACCTTGAGTTCACGGAAAGGTCATGGACAGAAAGACGGGCACAGATTACAAAATGAAGAATATGTAATATGTATATATATATATATATGTATCTGAACACGTCTTCCAAATGTACTTCTGCCCAGTACCCCTCCATCTCGTCTTCTAATATTCCACAAAATCTGACCCAGAATTCTTCCCGTGTACTTGTAGACCTATATATGTTGCATTTTACACCCCTAGTGACACTATTTAGCAGGTAGATCATCAAGGAGAAGGACGGCTTCCACCCTGCTTGTTTGGGCAACCCGCGCAGAGAGAGAGAGAGAGAAGGAGGGAGGGAGGGAGGGAGGGAGGGAGGGAGGGAGGGAGGGAGAGAGAGAGGGAGAGAGAGAGAGAGAGAGAGAGAGAGAGAGAGAGAGAGAGAGAGAGAGAGAGAGAGAAACAGAAACAGTTTCCAAGTTGAAAGACATGGATACTCTATAAAATCTCCCCCCCCCCCTATTGAATTTTAATGAAAGTAATATATAAAATAAAATTCTGTGCATACTTGCATGTGTTCATACGGTCCTGTACAGCCAAGAATAACAAAGGATTATCTTATCTTATCGTATATCCTATCATGGGTATTGAATTCCATCCCTAGCATGCGACAACAAAGAGCGTAAACCCCCCCCACCACAGACTAGCCAGGACAAATATATCGGCCGACAGAACGCCTCGACTCACCAGTAGCTCTTCCCGCTGCCCGTCTGGCCGTAAGCAAACAGGCAGGTGTTGTAGCCCTCAAAGGCTTTCCCCAGCAGGGGCTGGGCCAGGCGGCTGTACACCAGGGCCTGGTCGCAGAAGTCCCCCGACCCCTGGTCATGTGACCAGAAGGAGAAGTCGTAAGCAAACTGGTGGACAGAGCCGTTGTCGGAGCGGACAGTTGTCTCGTTGTTCAACATGGACACCACGCAGCGAGTGTTGGAGTCGGACAGTTCTCTGACGAATATATATATTACATAATATTGTAACTTTCAGTCAGTTAGCATTTTTGTTTTAAAAATTTAATACAAAAGATGCCTTGAAACATAGTTTAAACAAATCTTATACCTATACTATAAACACCCTATCTATAGGTTCCATTTGAACAAAGCCCACATTTTATTAAACACTAAATGCTGATATTCCCCCCAAACACCTCAGTGAAGATAGAACATTCTAGCAGAGAAAGTCAGCCTTGAGAGGAAGACGTATCAACAAGTAACAAACAAACACAGGATTGGGAAGGGTGAAAACTTTCTGTCTGTTATTGTCCATCATTATCATCTGTAATCAGATAGTGAGAAAAAAGTAGTGTAGCCTCAGGACGACCGTTTTGTCACGTTAACTTTCTCCAACAAGTGAGGGACAAAGAGCAGGAAAAGTCTTTCCCAAGCCCCAGTAAGAGTCAAGGTAACAATATATATATATATAATATATCATATATGGCAAGGCTACAAATGTACAATTGGTGTTTGGTGTTGCATCAGTCAAGTAAGAGTCAAGGTAACAATATATATATAGAATCTATCATATGTGGCATGGCTACAAAATGTACAATTGGTGTTTGGTGTTGCATCAGTCAAGTCTACTACATTAACTCTATGGGTGCCAAACCTAGCCAGTAACCAGAAATATTTCAGAAATTAAGGACAGTACAGAAAGCAATGGAAAAGGCTGGCCATACAACTTCTAATACAAAATAAAATAAAACACAAAACTACTACAGAAGACAAGAGTATGGCAGACCAAAATATAAACTGAGACAAAAATACAAATGGGCTGGCCACATTGAGAGAATGAAAGTTAACAGATGGACAAAGAGATGCACTGAAAGGAGACCAAGAACAGGAAAACAATCAAGAGGAAGACCAGAGCCAGACAGAAAGCAAGGAACAAGATGACATCAGAGAGACAGACAGGTGCAACCTGACATGGAGAGCAGAGATGACATCAGAGAGACAGACAGGTGCAGCCTGACATGGAGAGCAGAGATGACATCAGAGAGACAGACAGGTGCAGCCTGACATGGAGAGCAGAGATGACATCAGAGAGGTAGACAGGTGCAGCCTGACATGGAGAGCAGAGATGACATCAGAGAGGTAGACAGGTGCAGCCTGACATGGAGAGCAGAGATGACATCAGAGAGGTAGACAGGTGCAGCCTGACATGGAGAGCAGAGATGACATCAGAGAGGTAGACAGGTGCAGCCTGACATGGAGAGCAGAGATGACATCAGAGAGGTAGACAGGTGCAGCCTGACATGGAGAGCAGAGATGACATCAGAGAGGTAGACAGGTGCAGCCTGACATGGAGAGCAGAGATGACATCAGAGAGGTAGACAGGTGCAGCCTGACATGGAGAGCAGAGATGACATCAGAGAGGTAGACAGGTGCAGCCTGACATGGAGAGCAGAGATGACATCAGAGAGGTAGACAGGTGCAGCCTGACATGGAGAGCAGATGACAGAAAAGAGGGGGTGGGGGTGGGGAGGTGTACTGTTGGTGGGATACATCCTGCAGTGGACAGCATAAAGATAGATATAAAATATAATCCAAAGACGAATGACACAGCAGCAGCAACAGAAGATTAATTAATTCTCTAAGACATATTATATAATATAGATCATAAAATTCCCAATAAAAAAAAAGATCACAGAATATAGAGGCACTGACACCAACTTTTTACTGACATCACTACTTTGCTAAAACTGGACGGAACTTGACCTACCTCTGGCTGAATGGCCGAACTCTGACGGCTACCATGATGCTGCAGCTATCCTCACCGTCCTCGGCTGCATCCATCGACTCATCCTGAATCATCGGCAGCATCCGACGAGGCGTGCCAAAGCTGACATCATGGTAGCAATCAGGCGTGGCAAATATCCGACTCTCCAGGGTGTGTCTGCGAGACTGTTTACTGGTGGGAGTCCTGAAGGGACTCTGGGAGACCGTGTCTATGCACTCTAGCGTGCTGCGACGCTCCTCCTCCACAGCAGCTGGGATGGGTGCTGGCTTCTCAAGGTCAAAGCTCACCTTGTGGGAAGCAGGCTTTGGCGTGGGCCCTTTGTCAGCTTGTGAATGTGCCGAGCTTGAAGGCACAGGCTTCCCACCGGTACTCGCAGCGTTGTCTGTTGCAGGCTGAGACAGACGCACGCCACTCTTGTGAGTCTCGCTGCCTGAGCTGACACCAGAGTCAGACTCGGCCGAGGAAGACGACAAGTTTTTCCCTGGCTTGGACCTGGTGTTGTTGCCATTGTTGAGAGAGTTTCTCGCGCCACTGGCGCCCAACGGCGAAGAAGTATTGGAGGCTGGACCAGAATTCCTCACAGCCTTTCTTGGGCTACCTTTTCCCTTCCCCGTGGCTGAGGTGTTACTGTTCTTGTTGTTGCTGTTGGCGGGGACCTTGGCAGCTGCATCCTCCGTGGACAGTCGTTCATTGGCTGTGGCTGTGACCTCAGCAAGTCCCTTGTTTTCTTTTCCCACAACGGCTGAGCTCGGCACAACTTTAACACTGGCAGAGGATTGCGCAGGTTTCTGGGCACTATTTTTGTCTGCTAGTTTTGCTGGTAAGTTTCCGATAGTGACTGGAGCGTCAAAATGGAGGAGAACGTCTTGTTTGATCTTACCAACAGTCTGAGTGCCCCCAATTGAAGTTTCGATGATCTCATCGTTAAATGTGACCGACCTCAGACGAGGGCTTTCTGGAGGGGGTACAGACGGCAACGCCCTCTTTCCTTTCACTGGCTTTCGTGGGGAATTGCTGGCCATAGTCACTTCAGCATTTCCCTTCGGAAAATAAAGGAACAAAATAAAAATAGACGTATATTAATATTAAAAATAATAATTTCAATAATGTATGATAATATAATATAATAAGTAATATAATAAATTTCTCTCATAAATATATTGCTTGTTTACACTGAAAAAATGTTCAATGCACTTTACAATGATAGAAGACCAGTACCATGTATACGGCATACAGTTCCCCAGTCATCCTTTCTCTTCATCCCTCTTTCTTTCTTTCTTTCTCTCTCTCTCTCTAGTAGCTCGAATACAGACAATCCCACTAGACTAAAAACTTGCACACACACAAAAGAACACACACAGATGATAATACACAGCCACATAATCATTACAGAGCAGCATGAACAAAAAACCAGAAATGTGTGTATTTAGAAGGTTGGACATCACTGGTTAAAGTTTTTAAAGCTGTCCAAGAACAAAGCTGAAAAATCACAGCCCATCAAACACTGGACAAGGCAACCTTTCCTTCTGAGACCAGGGATTCTTAGTTAAGTTATAGTGTGTCAGTAAGTGATGATATATGGGGGGTTGTTTTATCTTTTTTTTTTTACAGATGTCCTTTTGTGTGCGCTAGTTTTTCTTGTTTCTGAGAACTACTTTCTTGTTTGTGTGAATGATCATGTGATTGGTGTAGCCTAAAAGTAAAGAGCCTACTAGTACTAGTATCATAAGTATGGGATAGAGCGCTATATTGATTAGGCTCTATTGCAATCTATTATTAATTATTATTTATTTACAAATTACATTCGTTATTCATCATCAAGACATTAAGAATGTTGTATGATAATTCCACCTCCTCTCACATGTCTTCAAAGAACAGGACCACAGGATTATTTTTACTAACCACACTTATATGACTTAGAACAAACTGAATAAAGAAAAAAAGCATCAATGTAAATCACAGTTTAGTTACTATTTTTTTGCAGTTGAACAACTTCACAAAATATACTTTAAAAACGAATGAAAGACCGGAATAGAATTCTGTCAAGATACACTTTTAGTTATTATATTATAACTTAGTATTTACTTAGTAACTTACTTCTAAAGTGATGTTTTCATGATGTAATATAAAAGCATTTAACATAGAGGCCTATTAACACATAGTTTGACTTTGTCGAAATTAGACGTTTTTGAAAGGAAGAGGCTAGCCTTACTTAATGACGGCTAGACTGGCAGTCTAGCCGTACTTAAGTACGGCTAGACTTACAGTCTAGCCGTACTTATTCTTAATATGATGGCTAGACTGACCATTTACAAAAAATAGGCCTACTGAATTGTAAATATACATTTTTAGTGTGAAGTACCTAAAGTATAATTGTATTTGAGACAAAACCAGGTTCCTTAATGACAGTGCATGTATTTTAAACCTCCTGTTTTCTAATGTAAATAGGGCCTAAGATTATAGATAAGTACGGCTAGACTTCTTGTCTAGCCGTACTTAAGTACGGCTAGACTTCTTGTCTAGCCGTACTTAAGTACGGGTAGACAGCCAGGCTAGCCGTACTTAAGGACGGCTAGACTGACAGTCTAGCCGTACTTAATATTGATGGCTGAATTGTAAATGAAAATTTTAGTTTGCAATGCTTAAAGTATTTTAGTTTGCAATGCTTAAAGTATTTGTATTTCAGACAAAACCAAAAGGTGCCTTACTGACTTGCATGTATTTGAACCTGAATAATTACTAGATCTAGATCTCATGAGACCTGTGTACTTAACAGGATTGAGTCGATTGGGCCAAACCTAGATCTAAGTACGGCTAGCCACTTCGTTTTTGAAACATTGTAAGTGGAATAAGCTTTAGAGAAGCTCACGTAAGTCTAGACCTAGGCATAGAAACCTGCATATTTTCAATTAAGTTCCTCTTTATATCAATTCTCTCACTCACTGAGTCAAGTCAAGTGAACGAGTCACAAGTCATTGTTGAGAGTCATTGGCTCGGCTTTTAGCCATCACCGTGCACATCTGCGTGCAGGGTTAATTACCGCACATCGCTAAGTAAATATATCAGCGCATCGCTAAATATCACTAGATTTCTAAATATCGTGGTGACAAGAATCTTAGGCCATTTATGAATTTTTTTCTAAATTTTAAAGGAAGTCCGTTTTATAATTTATTATAAAGCTTTGGGAAGGCATTTCTTGTTCTTTCGTCATAATTTATTATTATATGAGAATAGTCTAATGAATAACAGAGAGAAAGAGAGGTAAAAAAAAAAGAGAGAGTCACACACACACACAGAAAGAGCACGACAGAGAGAATCTAAAGAGAGACATGGACAAGGAGAGAGTCAGAGACAGACACACACACACATGGCGGCGTGACAGGGTCACACACACACACACCCAATAATTGGTCATGCAGTTACTAAAAGGGCACTTTTTCGGTAGTTCCCACCCCGCAATTGTTATTCGCTGGTTTTGGCTCCAAGAGTAGGGGGGGTTTCAGGTGGGCTTGCCCCCCTGACCTAGACCTAATAAAAATATACGAAGTGACTATTTCTCCGAACGTTCGGAGAAATAGTGCCGATCTTTATTTCTCCGAGCGGTTTCCGGCTTCCGGTCTCGTGATTTTTTGTCTATTTATTGCGAGAGTTCGGCGCCAACTTTCATTCTGCCTCTGGCCTCTGGTCTGGGAAGGAGCACCGCATGGCAAGCCCGCCTACAGACAACCTTCAGTAACACCCACCACACACCCACCACCATCATGCACATGTACACACACTAACTAAACATGACCAGTGGGCAACTTTTGAACGTATGACATGACGAGCTGAGCTGTGGACGGAGAGACAGTGGGAGTGAAAGAGCGGGTGAAAGGAAGAATGTGCGAGTGTATCCACAGGCGACAGCAACTACAAGACAAGACGACGACACCGACCCCCTGGCCTGGTTCACAGCTCACGAAAGAAAGGAATGCAGCTCAGGCAGTGTTTTGCCTATATTATTGTCCATGGTTCGCAGGGTGCAAAGGAAAGAATGATATTTTCTTAGTGTGTGCCTGGAGGGAGGGGGTGGGGTATGAAGAAAGTCATGCGGACAGGGATAAGCCGTGGGAGAGAACACGGGAATTGAATGAATGAGGGAAACTGAAAGAGACGAACGACTCATGAGCCCCGGAGTGAATGGATCCTGTGTTTCTATTTTTGTATACTTTGAACTGTTACTGAATACAGGCTGAAATAAAGCCCGAAAACACACACACACACACACTCCTCACTTACTACCACACACAGACACACTCACATACATACACACACACGCGCGCGCACACACACACACACACACACACACAAACACACACAGGAGCAAATTTTTGGGTCTATATCTATTTCAATTTTCAAGAGCTAGTCTAGAGATTTTTAGATGAGTGTAAAAACGTGAAAAAGAAAGGTTTCACAACAGAAAGAAATCAAAATTAGAACAGCCCATAAACAACAACAAACATTAACAAATAAGGGCGTGTGTCCATCTGTCCGAAGAAGATGGGCTGTTTTAACCCTAAATGTGCGTAATAAAAAAAAAAAAAGGACAGGATATTACATGTAAATTATGGAATCACACACATTAAGGGGCTTTGCCAGTGTCAGTACATTGGTCGCAGCAGTGACAAACGCAGATGCCAGTTCTATGTGTCGTTATCAATAACCCTCCGTAGATCTAGATCTAGATAGCACACGAGTGAACACAACACATTACGTTTAAGAGCAGCACCCTTCATAGGCAACACGCCATATCTGTAGCGAAAAACTGTTTGGAATTGTAGCATTTCTTGTATATAAATATTTACTGCGGACATTTTTTGGACCGATTGAACCATATTGTATATATATACGAGCAATCTTTGGTAGGCCTATAATATAATTATAGATCTATATATAATATCCGAAATTTGCGAGAAAGGATGTGATTTCAGAGTGTTCGGAGAAATAGTGCCCATCTTTATTTTCCCGAACGTTCGGAGAAATAGAATCTAGTGCCTAGCTTTATTTTCCCGAACGTTCGGAGAAATAGTGCCCAGCTTTATTTTCCCGAACGTTCGGAGAAATAGTGCCGGCCTCTGAATTTAACCATAACTTGATGTTTTGCAGTTATTAGGTTTGATATCTTGGCGATTCCGTAGTTTCGTTCGTTAAAGTCAATCTAGATCTAGATCTAGATCTAGATCTATATCTAGATCTAGATCTAGAATCTAGATCTAGTGTTTGGACTTGGTCTTCAAGACTTCTGGATTTCTTCTCTGGATGTAAACAAATGGATCGTGGACTTTAACGAACGGATACAAGATCACCGATGTCTTAGCTTGCCGGGCATCAAACACATAGATCTAGTCTAGATCTAGAAATCTAGATCTAGATCTAATCTAGATCTAGATTAGAATCTAGATTTAGATCTAGAATAGATCTAGATATCTAGATCTAGAGATTTACTAGAGCTCTAAGTATGACATTTACTCTGCTTTCCCTCTCTTACTTATTTTGATCTTTTAAAACAATTTTGTACTTCATCAAAGTTATCCAAGCCTTAGCTTCCACTTCCTTAGTCTAACATAAAGTTCAACCAAGTTTCGAATGAAGTTGTGAGTAGAGGGTCCTGTCGCGAGATCTAGATCTAGATCTAGATATCTAGATCTAGATTCTAGATCTAGAATCTAGAATCTAGAATCTAGATCTACAAGTACAGAGAAACACAAGAATCACAAATATACTATAATACAAGACATGGGAACCACCGAATCAAACGTTTAAAATTATATCCACAGAAAACCGAATATGGGCACCACAAACAGTACAGATCCGGCGACCCTAGTCAAGTTAGAACACAGCGAGTCACCAGACCGTGCTTAATCCCTGTCGGTGTTTGTGTTGTAGTTTGTAGTCGCCGCTTGCAGACTGTTCGCCATTCGAAGATAATCTCTCTTTGATTTCATTGGTTGTTCCGTTCTCTCGGTCGCTATTTTGGGAAAATTTTCAAAATAGGAGAATGTTGTTTCACTCCTTATTCTGGTCCGCGTTTTTAAATTAGGAAGTAGTAAAAAGAATAATTCAGTATACATTTCAAATGTACGAAACAACAAAATTGTGATCTATTTTATTTTTCACACTTCCAAAATCATTCCGATCTAATCATAATTTTAGTGTCTGAGTGTGTCTGTTACTTGTTTTTTGGGTTGTTTTTTTTAGAAAAACATTCAAATTGCAATCTTTCACGTGTCTGCCTACCAATCCCCACACAAAACGCGGAATACTTAATGCTTTTATAGTTTGACCATATTTTAAAAAAATAATTAATTAAAGATCTATTCTTGGATCCGTGCTTACTTGTCCTCTGTTTTGGGGTCACTGCAGTCGGAACATGTCCATCTCTGGAGAACAATAACATACCCCCATTCACGTGCGCTGGTGGTAAAAACCAGTCATCGAAAATTCACCAAAATTTTCCTGCATTCTAGGAAGATTATTGTTGGCTTTCAGCGTTCTATCTTTATTCCTTCATGGTGAGGGGGAAAAACTTTGGGTAGGCATATATGCCACTCGTGTTATTACTACATGTATTTCGGGCACCAGGTCTTCGATTGCCACTTTTCTTATTCCCCGTTTCCTCCCATCGTACTCATTATTTCCAATACCCAGCAAATCTAAGTCAAAAACTGCATGTATTTGACTTTTCAGTCATTTCGACGTCTCCATTTTACAAGAGCAGGTGGCCGCCCGCAATAAGCGGTTGTTGCAACAACCATTCACAAGAAGGATTTTGTCTACAGGATGTCGCCTGCTTTGTTCACGAGTGGGGGGACTCTTGAAACGACAGGGAAATACAATGTACCGTACAACAATGTACCGTACAACAATGTAGCCTACCGTACAACAATGTACCGTACAACAATATACCGTACAACAATGTACACATCACATCAAAGTCTCAAATGGTTTTGCACGCGTGTTTTAATTTAATTTGTTAGTTTGAAGCTCCTTCGGGGAAGGTGTACAGGTATGTGTATGTCATTGTGTGTGCTTTGTGTGTGTTCAGGTACATGTGCATTATGTACGTGTGTGAGTGTGTGTGTACGTGTGAGTTAGAGAGAGAGAGAGAGAGAGAGAGAGAGAGACAGACAGACAGACAGAGACACATAGACAGTGAGCGAGTGAATAAGTGTGTGTGTGTGTGAGTGAGAGACAGAGACAGTGAGTGATTGAATAAGTGTGTGTGTGTGTGTGTGAGAG